TTTTATTGATATAATTTTGTTCATTACAAATTTTCGTTAAATTGTATATTTTTGAAGATATTAGCAAAAAACGATAAAAACGCAAAAAGATACAAAGTTTCAGTAGCCAGTAACTTGAAAGTATTTGCTTTTTGAAAAAACATTATTGAACATTTTTTCGCTTATAGTTAGTTATTTTATCCACACCCAACGTTATTACACCACTGAAAAGAAATGGCATCCTCCGGGTAGTGCAAAGGAGCCTAAATTGTTTTCACTTTTGAACTTGAGAGTATGATGAGCCTAATTCCAAAATTCCAAACGAATTGGAAACAGTAAAAAAAAGTTCAGACCCGAAGCGCTCCATTGAGTAAATATTTCGTACAAAATGCCAACCATATGAATTTTTGACACAATGAAACCTCTAAACAATTTTTTGAATAAGTAATTTTTTTTGTATTGTGACTTAGTATAGTAAGGCAAAACGACCGCAAATTGAATATTTTTGAGCGCAATCACTTATGGCTCGAACAAAATTATTGCAAGCAAAAGCAAACCAGGCGTACGTTGAGAACACGATTCGCCGTGCGCGTCAGTCGCATGCGCATACTGTCAGACGCATGTTATATTATTTGCATCTTATATTATTTTAATTATGGCACATCTCAGCTGCTTTTCGACAATAATAATGTAGACATTACATTTTCTTTATTTTTAATCTTGAATTTATTATATTTTAATATTGCCTTATCCCATAAATGAATAGAAATGTTTGGCAAATGACAGTTGTCATTTGTTTTTAATGTCAAACCATGCCTTAAATATTTTAAAGGTCAAACAATGATAAGCGGGTTTTTTGTATTTTTTTTTCATTTATTTCTACAATCTAACTATATTTCTATGAATCAAAACATTCTAGAAAATTTCCCGAACAAACTTCAGGAAGATTCATAAAAATCCGAATTATAGTTTAAGAGGATTAATGAAACTTACATTGTTACAGAAGAATTTTATATATAAGATACGTTAAGTTTGAAAAAATTGGTTGCGTTTTTTTGATTTGTCAAACTTACGGTTTTCATCAACTTTTTCTCAAAAACGGCTAAACCGATTTCAAAAATTTAAAAACCATTAGTAACTCGATAAGTACTATCGATTTTCAGTTTTGCGCGGTGATCGGCTGAGCCGTTTTTTGTAATTAGCAGAAAAGGAAAATTTTTTTGTCCAAAATTCTGAATCGATTTTGAAAATCCAAAAACTTTTCGTAATATGTTATTTGGCAATCACGCTGATTGGTTTTGGACAAAGGTCGGCCTAGCCGTTTTTTAGTAATTAACTATTGCATTTTTCTGATTATACTTTTTTGTTGATGTATATCATAGTTGTAAAGTAAGTACGAAAGTATTACGGTTTACAAGTCGTTTAATTTAAAAAAAAAAAATCATCGAAGTTGTGATGTGATGAGATAAGATTTGAATTTCGCAAATTTAAAAGCAAAGTTGGAAAGTAGGGAAGAGTTGCGTTTGGGTTTTCGAGAAGATCGCCCAAGTCACCAGAAATGGCTTTGGAATTAGCAAAAAAGTAAGTAAGTAAGTAAGTAAGCCTACAAAATTTCTTTAGATTTGTGAAAAATGTTACCGTTAATTTAAATTATTAAATAGTATTATGGACTACGTACATGATTTACGTAATTGGTCAGTGTTTTTAAAGCAGATATTTAATATTTAACAAAATAATTCATTCAAAAAAAAAAATGTTTCGACGTTTTTCATGAAATTTAACATAAAGTTCATGCACTATACAGTCCCACAAACATTTTTTGAAATATTTCTTAAGGTTTATATTTAATTGATCGCGAAAACTCTATTTTCGTAATAGACTATTGAAAACTTTAGCTAAATATCGAATTTCAATTTCGGTTGATTAAGTCAATTATTAACCATTCGGGAAGTTCATGCAACTTGCTTTAGGACAAAATGCCACTTACAACTAGTTTTATTCTATTTTTAATACAATTAAGCAATCTTTAATGTCATGAATCATTTCAATAAATTTTAGTATGCTTTGTTGATGAAGTAAATTGGCATATCTTAAAATATTCTTAAAAAAATCTGACTGATATAATTATTGAAATATAAGGATCAGTTAGTTTATTAACATGGCATTATGTTAATATATGAACTTAACATAATATATTTTTTTTTATTTTAGTAATTTACCAATAACAAATCAAATGGTGGCTGGAGGGTTAGCTGGATTATGTCAAATAGTAATAACTACGCCAATGGAATTGTTGAAAATACAAATGCAGGATGCAGGACGGATAGCTGCTCAAAATAAAAAAGGTTTAAATTTCAAATATCTAAAAAAATTTTTTTGATCTATAGCCTAAATTAAATTAAACTGAAGCTTATTAAGTGATTTTGAAATGAATCAGACCAAATTTGAAAAAAGTATGTATGTGTGGAAGCAAATTTTCGATTTTTCTGCCACGTTTTCTCATAAACTGCTATACCGATTTCGACCAATCGATGTATCTAAATAAATACTCGCGTTGAATAGTTTTGCACAAAAATCGATCAATCCAAGATCTTTGTATTTAGCAGAAAAGTGAAAAAAAAATGTCCACCTTTTAGATGATAGCCGATTAGATGTAACTCGATTGGGACTAGCGTTGATCAGCTGTGCGCGACGATCAGCCAAGCTGTTTTCTTAAAATTAACATAGAAGTCTAAACATTTTCGGCAACGTTTTAGCCCATAATTCTGACTCGATTAAAAAAATTTTTTTCGATGATTTACATGAAACTTTTCAACGATAGAAATCATGAACTTAAAGAACATAGTAAAATATTATGACAAGTTTCCTCATCTATGATGACAAGTAATTAAATTTAAAAAATTTACCACCGTTTGGAAAAAATATCAGCGTTTTTTTATGTGAGCACAGACATTTTCATAAATTGAAAATTCAATCGAAAAAACTTGATAATAGTAGAAGAGTTAGCGAATCATTCGACTATTTTGCACAAAGCTAGTAATTTTTTTAAATGATATTTTATTATTTGTCCATTAAGAAAATACTATTCTAGTAAGCAGCTGGCGGTTGCGTCATCATCCCATCAATTTTTGAATACGCCAAAAACGAAATCTTCTGTAATTCCGAAAATAATTTGAATTAACCCCGCATTAATTGGATTATAACTCTTTTAATTCTGATTTCATCAGACCTTGTAATATACTATTTTAAAGGTGATTAAATGAGCCAGAACTTTCTCTATCATAAATTTTACCATAACTTCTCTTATTGAGTATAGCGTGAGCCGTCGACCAGTTTGGATGGTATAAACAACCAAACCTCCTACATAAACAATCGGTATCGAAGTGATATTTATGGACCGATTCTGCCGCATAACAGAGAAATGTTACGGCATAGCTATGTTACGCTCCGACTTCCATACATTATGCGAATGAATCATACTGAATGCTGTCAAAATATCATGTATTTGCTGTTCATTCCGGCGTTTTATACATAAACTGCAACGTCACTCGTATGTTATCTAGTGATATCAGATCTAACATCGTTTTTTTGACATTTGCGCGGCTTTTAGGTTATGTTTTGCATCAGAAAACCTGAGAAATTCGCCTGACTGAACATCAACCGCATAACTTTTGTCTATATTACTATGGAAAATTCTTCATAACCTTATCATAAAATTGCGGCAGAATCGGTCCCTTAGTTTTGTGAATAGTTATAGGGTACAAGTGCGCTTTTAAACAGTTCTCAACATACACACAAATGTCCCCGCAGTGGGGGCATTTACAAATTTAATGCCGAATATTATTAATTAAATAAATAGTTTTATTAATATAAATAATATAATGCAACATCAAGAAAATGGAAAAACTATCTTGCCGCTAATAGAAACACAAATTAACTTAAACGACACTTCGATGACAGAAGTGCGTTTATACAACATCGGATACAACAGCAACAACAATAGCAAAATATTATGTCAAATGCTCATGATCAAAATACGTATTTACAACAACAGCAAATTAACAAGGGAAATAACCACGAACAAAGTGCGTATTAAGTAAACAACAGCTACAGCAGCAACAACAGCTACAGCTGCAACTACAACAACAACAACAGCTGCAACAACAACAACAGATGCAATAACGACAACATATGCAACAACAACCGATGCAACAACAACAACAACCGATGCAACAACAACAACAGCAAATTAATAAGCCAATGGTTCATGAACAAAGAATAAATACTGTCGTTAGCGACGTGGAACTTGACAACCAGACTCCATCGGCTTCGTGGCAATACGTCAGAAGAAATGAAAGAAGGCGTAACTCAACGGAAGGTAATTTAAACAATGAAATAGTAACATAAAACATGTTTAGCTTACTAGCTTCAACATCGAATACACAGAACGAAAACACTACAAAGGTTCAAAGGTCACCTCCTGTTTTCGTGTATGACGTAGATAACTTTGCAGATATGATTAGTGACTTAAATACTCAACACAAATGAATATATCTCTAAATCCTTGCCAAATGACATAGTCATAGATTAATGTAGCAGCACCAAAACAGTATAGAAAACTGGTTACTTTACTCAAATCAAAACAAGCTATCTTTCACACATATCAGCTAAACGAAAAAAGTGCATTTAGGGTAGTGCCTAAAAACATACAGCATACGTACGACACGGAAGAAGTTAAACAAGATATTGAGAAACAAAACCATAAGGTGAGAAATATTATCAATGTCAAGCAATACAAAACAAAGCGCCCGCTATATGTTTTTTATTGATAAACAGTGTTCTATTTTGAAAATAACTATTAGTTATTTTAGAATTATTTTTAGCCTTTTTCTTTGCTATTAGCATTTTTTTAAATATGGCGAATTACATCACAGTTGAGAGGTGATTTTCGAAAATCTCAAATATTTCAATCTAAATCGTTCTCAGCAATATACTGACTAATCAGCTAGAGAAAGAAAAAGGGATTGTATTGTCTGTTCTGACAAAAAAGAACCTGAAGGGAGGCGGCGATCAATATTTTATTGTGAAACATGTCAAAAACAAGCATCTATGCAGGTTAGAAATTGTTATAACCCTTTGAGGAATAGCGCCGCATATATGCGTCTTACGCAAATCATCAAACTGGCCGAATAACTCATATATGCATTCAACGAAGGCAGTTGTTAGAGCTGAGGAACGCATATATGCCTCTCACCTGAATACATGTCGATGGCAGAGAAACTCAATGTTAATAAACCAAAATGAATAGTTAATAAACAAATAGTCATGTTATTTATCCTGTGTAAAATCTGTGTATATAAATATAATATATATGTCCAGAATTAGTTGGAGTACTAGAATTTGAATTAGGGTTGGAGTCAGAAATATGCGTTGCCTATTTTAAATGACTAGCATGGCAGTAGCTTGGCACCACCGTACGGTTCACTTGGAACCATCCCGTCCCCAAAGGGTTAAGCATTACCATTATTTATAAAACGACCAAAAATAAATTGATATTATAAAAGTATGTTCAGTTCGAAGTGACCATCGTACAGGTCACTTCGGGCACGCAAATAAAAATATTTAATTCTTATCAGTGTTATCTAACAGTGCGTGAGTCATAACATACCAGTGTATTGTTCGTCGACCAGATTAACTATGGCGAGTCCCCAGCCTTTACCGCTTGTCGAAACCATTGAAATTTTACATGATACTTTTACAACTAATTCTGAATTTGTCGCAAAACAAGTAAACTCCAATAGTAATGTACAACCAGAGTGTAATCAAGAATCCACAATTAATAATAAAACTAACGAAATGGAAACTGACAGTAATGTACCGCTGTCAATACCCTCTACTTCCAAGGATGGCTGTTCTACGGTTAACAACAGAAAACACAAAAGAAATAAATCCGAAGCTCTGAAGGTAATTCTGTGTCAAAAAAGCTAGAAAGTAACTACTGGCTGCATTCAACATCGGACAATATCTACAATGTTTTAAATAACATACAGCCAGAACAAACAATGAATACCGCTGCCCAATTCCAAAACCGCCACCGATCTTTGTTTACGGCGTTGAAAATATCAATTTCCTCACAGAATTATTAAGTGGAAATGCGCCAGGAAAATATAATATACAATTAATCAATAATACGCAATTCAAAATCACGCTCGCAGATGCTAAAACTTATAATAAATTTCTCAAATTACTAAAAGAAAAAAATACCGAAGTGTATTCATTTTAGAGCGAATTGGCACGTTCGTTCAAGGTCGTTGTTCGGAACTTACACTCCAGCACAGAAATTGAAGATATCGCCACAGAAATAACAACTCATGGTCACAAAGTAATGCGAATCACTAACATGAAACACAAGTTTACTAAGGCCCCTATGCACATGTTTCTTATCGAATTGGAACAAAATCCCAACAACAAAGAAATTTACAAAATCGAATTTATTTGCCGAACTAAAGTGCTTATCGAGTCTAAGAATCCAAGCAAATCAATAGTTCAAAGTGTTAATTGCCAAAGATACGGTCATACTAGAACTTACAGTAATCTGAAACCGCGCTGCGTGAAATGTGCCGGCGATCATCTCACAAAAGACTGCAGTTGGACCGATCGAACTAATAAAAACATAAAGTGTGTCCTATGTAATGAAGGACATACAGCCAATTACAAAGGATGCAAAGTCTATCAGGAAATGTACTCCCGCAGATATTCTCCCATGCGTCCAAAACAAACAAATTCTCTTTCCTCCTCTAATCCTATCACCTCAAACACAGTTAAACCCGGTATCTCATACGCTGTAACTGCTCGTCAAAATAACCAACTACAACAAGATATAAACAATACTGAAGCTATCAATCATCATCAGCAAGCTAACGAATTAACAGAGTTTAAATCTATGGTTAAAATTTTAGCGGAGAAACTAAGCACAGTCATGAACTTATTAACCGCCGTCATATCCAAACTCAACTAATGCATCACTTCCTTCAAATTGCGGTCTGGAATGCCAATGTCTTGGCACAACACAATTGGGAATTGCAAATGTTCATCCAGCTTCACCGCTTGGATGTTATTCTGATCTCAGAAACACACTTTACTTCCAGCAGCTATCTCAAACTTCCCCGGCTTTTCGACGTACTCAATCAATCATCCGGATGGTACCGCTCATGGTGGCTGTGCAATATTAATCAAATCAAACATAAAACATCAATAATCGCAGCACTATTGTACAAACTATCTACAAGCCTGCTGTGTTGCCATTTACCATCTTTCAAATAAACTTATCCTAGCCGCAATCTAC